GCTATAAAATCAATACCCAAAAGTCCATGGCTTTCCTATAGGCAAATAGTGAGAGAGAAGAAAGTGACATGAAGAAAACAATCCCATTCACAATTGTACGCCAGAAAATCAACTACCTAGAAATTAGTTTAACTAAGGAAGTAAAGGACCTGTAAAAAAAAACTACAAAACACTGCTTCTTGAAATAAAAGAGGACGCGAGGAAATGAAAACAATATCCCCTGTTCATGGATCAGGAGAATTGATATTGTCAAAATGGCAATACTTCCTAAAGCACTGTACAAATTCAATGCGATCCCTATTAGGACACCTATGACATTCTTCAAAGAAATGAAGCAAACACTCCTGAAATTTATATGGAACAATAAGCCCCCGCAAATAGCTAAAGCAATTCTTGGGAAAAAGAAAATGGGAGGAATTAACCGCCTGAACCTCAAACTCTACTACAAAACTCTACTACAAAGCAGTAATAATTAAAACAGGATGGTAATGGAACATAGGCAGAGCTGCAGACCTATGAAACAGGGTTGAATATACTGACATCTTCCCTCAAACATATGATCATCTAATCTTTGATAAAGGGGAAAGAAATGCGAAGTGGAGTAAGGAAAGCCTTTTTAAAAAATAGTGCTGGCAAAACTGGACGACTAAATGCAAAAAACTGGACTTAGATCTGTGCCTAACACCATGTAGAAAAGTAATATCAAAATGAATCAAATACCTCAACATCAGACTGGAATCCATAAGGTATATTGAAGACAAAGTTGGCAAAATCCTCCATGACATTGAAGCTAATGGTATCTTCAAAGATGTTACGCCACTGGCCAAGCAAGTGAAAACAGAGATAGACAAATGGAACTATCTTAAACTAAGCTTCTGCACCTCAAAAGAAACAGTGACCAAAATACAAATACAGTTTACAGAATGGGAAAGGATACTTTCCAAATACACATCTGACAAGGGGTTGATATCAAGGATATACAAAATACTACTTAAACTCCACAAGAAGAAAACATCCAACCCAATCAAAAAGTGGGGCAATGAAATGAACAGAGACTTTCTCAGAGAAGAAATCTGAATGGCTAAAAGGCACATGAAAAAATGCTCCACATCATTAATCATCAGGGAGATGCAGATCAAAACAACAATGAGATATCATTTCACACCACAGAGACTGGCCCACATTCAAAAGAACAAAAGCAACCTGTGTTGGCGCGGATGTGGCGAGAAAGGGACCCTCCTTCACTGCTGATGGGAATGCCAACTGGTTCAACCCTTTTGGAAAACAGTATGGTCGATTCTAAAAAAATTAGAAATTGAGCTCCCATTTGACCCAGCAATACCACTCCTGGGAATATACCCCGGAGAGGCAAAAAATTATCGTCAAAGTGACATCTGCACTTGTTTGTTCATTGCAGCACTGTTTACAATAGCTAGAATATGGAAAAAACCTGAGTGCCCAAGAACAGATGATTGGTTAAAGAAACTTTGGTATATCTACACAATGGAGTACTGTGTAGCAGTTAGAAAAAATGAAGTCATGAAATTTACATACAAGTGGTACTACATGGAAAATATCATGCTAAGCGAAATGAGTCAGAAAGAGAGGGACAGACATAGAAAAATTGCATTCGTCTGGGTAACATAAAGTAACAAAATAAGAGACTAACACCTAAGAACAGATGTGATAAATACCAGGTCATTCATTCCATGACTTAGAGGCCAGCCGCACACTCTAGGGGTAAAGGCAGCTCAGATATAGAAGGGAGCACCAAATAAAGGGTGCTGGGAAGATCTGCCCAGGATGGGATATGCATGCTGAAAGTAATCTATAGACCAAACATGATTGCAACCCAATGTCTCTTCTGCAGACCACAGCACCAAAAAGGAGAGATGGAACAAAAGGGAGTGCCCTGCCACAGAGGCAGGATGGGATGGGGGATGGGGGTTCGGAGGGATACTGGGGTTGGTGGGGGTGGAGAATGGGCACTTGTGGTGGGATGGGTACTTGATCATTGTATAACTGAAACCCAAGCACAACAACTTGTCAGTCTACAACTGTACCTCATGGTGTTTCACTAATGAAACAAAACAAAACAAACAAAAACACCAGCTAGTATTAGAATAAAGACAGACCCACAGATCAATAGAACAGTGCTAAATATTCTGAAAATGGCCCTCAAATATATGAACACCTAATAAAGAAGCAAGAAATATTAAGTGGAGAAAGGAAAGACTTTTCAACAAGTGGTGCTGGGAAAACTGGTCAGCTAAGTAAAAAAAGAAATAAACTCAGACCTTTTTGTAATGCCAGACACAAAAGTCAGATCAAAATGGATAAAATACCTCAATAATAGACCTGAATCCATAAAGTTCATGGAGGAAAATGTGGGCAGAACCCTCAATGATATTGAAGCTAAAGGCATTTTCAAAGATGAAACACCACTGACCAAGGAAGTGGAAGCAAAGATAAACAAATGGGACTACATTAAATCAAGAAGCTTCTTCACCTCAAAAGAAACAGTGACCAAGATACAAAGACATCCCACAGATTGGGAAAAAATATTTACCCAATACCCAAATGATAAGGGGTTAATATCCAAGATATATAAGGCACTGGTAGAACTTTACAAGTAAAAAACAACAAACTCCACCAAAAAATGGAGAGAAGTTATGAACAGAAACTTTCTCAAAGAAACAATACAAATCACCAAAGACATATGAAAAAACTTCTTGATTACTTTCAAATTTTGCCACTCTGTGGTCGCTATTTTTCAATTTTTATTCAGATACCATGATATACAATGTTTTTCATTACATCATTTACGGCATATAGGTACACAATGTTCTGGCACTATGTCCATCCCCAAATGATCAGTATTACTCCATCAATATCTCGATGTCCTTTATCACCAACCATTACCTACTTTGCAACCTGTTTTGGCAAGTTGGTGTCTGGACTTTGGTTTTCAGCTTCTTTATGTAAATATGAAAGCATGTGATAGCTGAGTCACATATGATAAGATTAGGTTTTGTTTTGCGAGAAGTCACCAGTATTTGTTCAAATTGGCTATATCGGATTTGTATCCTCAACAGGAACTAAGGAGAGTTCCTGTTGCTTCACATGCACACCAGCCTTTGGTGTCACTGTTATGAATTTGGGCCATGTAATTAGGTGTACAGTGGTATCTCACTGTTGTAATCCATAATTACCTAAATGGCATGTGATGCTTTTAGATGTCAGACAAAACCATACATAAACAGGTGTACCCTATATCTCTAGGAGTAAGATTTCCAAGAGAGAACAAATATGAGGCGGGAAAGTCATTCTTTAAGAATGCAATAACAGAATTTGAAAAATGGGGAAACATTGATTTGGGTGAACTGAGAGGCAACATGATGAAAGTGACATACAAGAAGAGGAAAGGACTGTTCAGGAAGATATGGGACCAGTCCTTACCCTGAGTCTGAAGAACTAGTTAAGTCAGTGAAATAAAATTTATTGTGGGAAGATGAGCAGAAATATAACCTCATCTGGGTTTTATTATAACCTCATCAGAGTTCGCCAGAGAAATATAATATATATGTGCATGTGTAAATATGGGCTGGAGCGATAGCACGGTAGGTAGGGCATTTGCCTTGCACACGGGCCGACCCGGGTTCAATTCCTCTGTCCCTCTTGGAGAGCCCAGCAAGCTATGGAGAGTATCCCACTCGTGCGGCAGAGCCTGGCAAGCTCCCTGTGGCATATTAGATATGCCAAAACAGTAACAAGTCTCACAATGGAGACGTTACTGGTGCCCGCTCAAGCAAATCAGTGAACAACAGGAGGACAGTGCTACAGTGCTATGTGTGAATATGAACATATTATGTATACACACACACACACTTGACAATCACACTAACCTCTCTGCCTGAATATGAACATATTACATACACACACACACTTGACAATCACACTAACCTCTCTGCCTCACTTTTACCAGCAATAAAGTGGAGATATCAATAGAATCTATCTCAGAGGATTATTTTGAAGAGTAAATAAGTTAATATAAGTACTTTGAACAGTGCAGGTACAAAATAGAGCAAATGACCACTAAAACTTTAAAAAATATAAAACTTGGGGGCTAGAGCTCTAGTACAGCAGCTAGGGTCTTTTCCTTGCACATCATGGACCGGGTTTGATCCCACTTAGTTCCTTGAGCCCACCAGGAGTCCCTGAGCACAAGGCCAGGAGAAAGTTCTGAGCACTGAATTTGGTTCAGTTTATTTGGCTCAAAACCAACAAACCCTTGAAACCAGTGTGAGTCAGCAGTGCAAAGGCAGAAAACAAAGGTAATTGAATCAGTATTCTTGCTGTAAAATATTAAGTCAAGTAATCTTATCTATCAGTTCCAGGTAATTCTGTATCTGACTGTGCTTAGAAAAAGTAGCTCTTGAAATCTCCCCCACGGGAAGAACCCAGGGCCTTCAGCATGGGGAGTTAATAAAAGGGAGGGGGGTCCTTAAAGTCCATTCCTATAGGAAAAGCAGAAAGCAGCGGACCTATGGTTCGATGGTTCGTTCACCCTGGAAGAACAATGAACTGCCAACACAAACAATTCCCTATGTGGCGCTCCACCACCACCACCACTACTAGGGGCCATAGCCAGCAAGTGTTGGCCAGGGAGTCTTTCAGATTGTCTCAGTTTGTGACTGAGTTCCCTGCAGCCTATACAGAACAGATGTTAAACCTTTGGGTTTTAATCAAACAGTCCAGAAGGTGGCAGAGTGATGGCTTGCAACAATAGCATTTCGGGAGGACTTGGGTAAATTCAGAGAAACGAAAGTCAAGGAAACTGAAATAAAGCGCGGGGCTCCCTTCCTGCCTAAGCCAGCCACACCCCTTCCCCATCCGCCCGTCCAGCCCCTCCCTCATGTTCAGAGTACTTTACCTTGCTGCAGCTGAGCCCTGGAAAACTCAGACGCGGGAGTAGCGCTGGATGAACACTGGATTGATGCAAATATTTTCTCTTAAATCCTAGGAGGGATACGTTAGAGGTTTTCTACGATGAAATGCATGGTTCCTCCCTCTTTTAGATAGAAGAAAACTTGGAAGACAGTCTCGGTAAGTACATCTATCACTAGTGTTGTTGTTATTGTTGTTGTTGTTGTTTCTTCTACTACTGGTATTCTATAGAAGCATTTTATTGAATAAGAGGAAATCTATTATTCCATGTAAAATTGAATTATACCCATAATAAAATAATCTTTTAGGAATTGAAATTCTAGACTATTCATTATTGTGACAGAGTGCTTTATTTTTGTTGATTTGATAAAATCTGATATTTGATAAAAGCTGCAGTTAAAAACTAGCAACACTTTTATTGATTAAATCCTCCAAGACTTTAGTATCATCTTCAGAAAGAACGTATAATATACATTTAAAGATGTGCATTCAAAAAATGTGCGTTATTCAAAGATCTTTTCCACCATCTATTCCAAACAGCAGTTAAAAAATAAAATGAAAAATAGCTTCTCAGATATTAGTGTCAAATGTAACTCAGACAGACAGAAAAATAGCGACAGACAGATTACTTCCGGAAGTCCTGAACTTGCCCCAGACCTGTAAGGGGACTGGGAGAAAGGATTACATTTTTGAGCAAGGGTTTGATGTTCAATTTCCTTTTAAAAAGCTGAAAAACTCTACAGTTCAATTATTGTGTGTGAATTCCATCCTGTAACAAATTACCTTTCTGGAGGGTGGAGGGGTGATTGTTATTAAGAATCTGGGGAATAAAAAATTCAAACCACTTCTAGTCAAGTATGTGAAATTGAAAGCAATTTTTTGGCATTAATTTTACTCCACAGGTTCACTGTATCTCCCAGTACTTATATTATAACCTTCTCCCTGATTTCATTACCTAAGAATTTCATGTGTGTGACTTGTATCACTTTCTAAATTACCATTTAAAATGTTTTGGAACAGGAGAGAGTATAAAGAGTTGATTAATTTGAGAAATACCTATACACAATGGCATAAATGGGAAAACCACAGGTGCTAAACATCCTAGAATACATTTCCCAGGAGTGCATCTTCAGCAAAATTTATATATATATAAATTTAAAACATAAAATATACGCTTTATAAAGCATATTTTGAAAGGCACATTTAACAAAACTCTGGCAAAGACTTAGGAGACTACATAAGAAAGTAAGAGCTGTTGAGTCACAACTGAAAGATCCAGTGTAGTGAGGAAAACAGTCAAAAGTCAATTCTACTTATTTGCTCACTTTTCTACCCAGACATCCAGGCACAATTTCCCATTGCACCAACGCTAATGTGAAAAGCTGCCTTGATTTTTATAGGTGTATAATGCATAAAGTAAACAATCCATCTAATTTACCACTTAATCTAATCTGAATTATGATGTTTCCCTGAGGAGGCATGGGCTGAGTTTATAAAACTAAGTGCTAGAAAACAGAGGAAAACCAGGAGACCGGTATAATGAGACAGTAAGTGGATGAGGAATTAGAACCCAAGATGAACACTCATGGTGTCCAGAATTGAATTAATCAGCAACCATGGATCATGACATATGATGACCTTTTTCTGTTCCAGTTCCTCTTTTTTATTTTGTTTTGTTGGCAGTTCACAGCTGGTGGTGCTCAGGGCTAACTCCTGGCTCTGTGCTCAGCGATCACTCCTGGCAGGCTCAAGGGACCATACAGAGTACCAGGGATTAAGCCTGGTCTTCCTTGTGCAAGGCAAGTATCCTACTCACTGTATTATTGCTCCAGCCCCTCCAATTACTCTTTTATTTCATTTGTATGTTTATCTTATTACCTATTTTGGAGAAATTTGCTTTTGGAGTGGAGTGTAATGTGTATGAAATGATCAAATCTCCAGCGCCAACCTCCATAAAAATACTTTATTTATTCGTCAGTTTGGCCACTAACCGTATCAAGATACAGATATTTTTTATCAAACCAAAATTTAAAGTGATCTATATGTCACCATAACAATATTAGTGTATTATAAATCTAACTATATTTTTCTTTATAAAGAATTTCACATTTTAATGTTGTCAGCCTATTTTTATTTCTACAGAAACACCTAAATTTAGAATGTTTTGTGTGACAGTTCTTTTCTATGGTCAGGTATTATTCCTGACAGTGCTTGGGGACCATATGCAGTGCTTGAATTCAAAAACAGGTTAGTTAAACATAAGGCAATCAACCTTATTATTATTAGCTCTCAGTCCATTTAAAAGATAGGTCTTACAATTGATGATGTGGGAACAAGTTGTCACAGCTTCCCTCACCCAAGATAAAACATAATTTACATATAAACATTGGTTTGTTCATCTAGAGAAGTGCATTATTTCTAACAAGTTTAAACTTAAGTTGAATGGACTCCATTATATAAAAACACACATATACTCATACATATTACTTTAAGATGATAATGCATGTATTATGCTTCTATTGGGGTTGGAGCGATAGCACAACCGGTAGGGCGTTCGCCTTACACGCGGCCAACATGGCCGACCCGAGTTCGATTCCTCCGCCCCTCTCGGAGAGCCCGGCAAGCTACCGAGAGTATTCGATATGCCAGACACAGTAACAACAAAGTCTCCAATGGAGACGTTACTGGGCCCACTCGAGCAAATCGATGATCAACGGGAGGGCCTTTACCTTTATGCTTCTATTTGACTAAAATTGATTAAAATTTTATTAAAAATTGCTATCTTCAAATATCAATCTGATTTTGGAGATGAACTGAGATATACAGTGTATAATTCTAATATCTATTTTAGCCACCTCATATGATTACTGGGCTGGAGTCATAGCACAGCGGGTAAGGGCATTTGCCTTGCAAGCGGCCAACATGGCCAACTGGAATTCGATTCCTCTGCCCCTCTCAGATAGCCCAGCAAGCTACCGAGAGTATTTCACTTGCATGGCAAAGCCTGGCAAGCTACCCGTGACATATTCGATATGCCAAACACAGTAACAGTTGTCACAATGGAGACGTTACTGGGCCTGCTCGAGCAAACCAATGAACAATGGTGACAGTGACAGTGACATATGATTAACATCTTATGGGCCTACAGTATATTTAAGGATGCTGATTAGGAGTCTGATCTTGTATTAAATTTAATCAGATATCTGGCACTGTCTCCTCCTCCCAGAATCCTTTGGTCAAAAGTTTCACATTGTGAACAGTGAAAAGACCTGATTATACTCCAAGTTTTACCATTATTTCCTGAAGGAAATTGAATCAGTACCATGTACTTTTTAAATTTTATCACTCTGAAAATTGCTCTAAAATAAAAACATTTGCTACCATACTTAAAACTTAGAGGAAAAGAAAGTCTGTAGGGTAAGAGGTAAACATATAAAAAGTCTAATTGCCAACGCCTGTGTGTGTTGAACAGCAGTGCAACTGCTCAATTTGCCTTCCAAGTCAGAATAACAAGAATAAAATTCTCAGGCTTGAATTTTCTACTATGCATAGATTCCATCAGTGATGGTGTTCTCTGCTTTAGCACAATATGATGCACACATGCATACACACACGTACACAACATGTACACACATACACATACCATGCCCAGGTGCTGGATAACTGCTCAGATAACACGTATTATAATTTCTTTCTTTTTCTTTCTTGCTTTTTGGGTCACACTCAGCAGTGCACTCAGGAATTACTCCTGGCGGTGCTTGGGGGACCATATAGGATGCTGGGAATCGAACCCGGGTCGGCCATGTGCAAGGCAAATGCCCTACCAGCTGTGCTATCACTCCAGCCTGATGTATTATGATTTCTTGTAGTTCCTCACAACTAAAGTTCAGAGGGCAGGAACAGGCTGAGATTACACATGTTTGTTGTCTTTCTGCACAAATTAAAACCAACATTGTTTTTTGATTACTTTGAATCACATTGCATTTTCCCAGTGTGACTACTTTGAACCTCCACAACACTGATGCCATCCCTGCACATAACAAGCGTCCCATTCACAGATCAGTACTTGTTCCATTGCAGGTTATTATACACTCTAAGTGCTCTGATCAACCTCATATTCTACCTTTTGTTTGTAAAAATCTTTATCTCTTCTTCATTTTTCAAGGACAAAGTTGCAGGGTATTTCTGGTTGACAGAGGTTCCCTTCACCACAGTATTTTGTACATATAATTTCATTCTTTTCTTTTTTTAAATGTAGGAGTACTGCTATTTATTCAGACACTGTTTAAGCTAACTGAAGCAATCATGACTCCACATTACTTTTATAAAAAAATAATTTTATTGAATATTCATTATTCATTACAAAGATTGATTATTAAAAAGCTGTTCTTAATTGGGTTTCAGTTTTCATACAATGATCCAACACCTATCCCTCCACCAGTGTACATTTCCCACCACCAATGTCTCCTGTTTCCCTCCCACCATCCCCCAACACCCCAACCCCACCCCCAAGCCTCCATCTATGGCAGGCACTTTTTTTTTGTACCCTCTCTCTCTTTTTCCTTTTGTTCATTATGGTTTGCAGTACAGTTACCAAGAGGTCATCATATTTGTTCAAGATATTCAGTATTTTTATCTGGACAGTAGTAAGGCTGGAGTGGCTTTTTAATTGGGTGGCAGCTTTGAGGTGTGGACATGACTGCTGGGCTTCTGGAAGTACAGGGAGATGGGAAAAGGTAGCCATCCCAACCCCAGAAAGCCTGGAGATTTCAGTCAAAAAACCCGCATACCTGAATTTTTAGCAGATTATATCTCTGTGAGGACTATCCTGAGATAGTGGAGTCAAACTGAGGGCATGAGGGTGTTTTTGGATTGTGGAAGCAAGCAGCTGTGGGGATTTCTGCTTGGGTGGGCACCAGGCTAACTCACCTCCTTCGATTTTCCCTGGTCTGTTCAGCCTTGCATGGGTTTGAGATAAACTGTGGCTTTTGATCTCTTTCAATATTTATTTATGGGTCTCTGAAGCAAGGTCAATATAAGAGCTTATATGGTAGTGCTGGAGTTGGTTTGTGGGGTAACTGCTGGTGCTTCTAGGAATATAAGGAAGTGGGGGGAGGTAGCCCATCCCAACTCCAAGAAAGCCTGGAGATTTCAGTCACAAAACCCGCATATTCAAATTTTCAACAGGTTAATATTTTGCTGCAATCTGTCCTTATCTGGTGGAATCCACCAGGGGCATGAAGGCATTTTTGGATTTTGGGAGCAAGTGAATGCTGGGGGCTCTGCTTGAGTGGGCATCAGGATAATCCACTGCCCTCCCCCTCCAGTTTTACTGATCTGCTCAGCCTTGCACAGGTCCGAGATTAACTGCAGCTTTTGATCTCTTTCAAGATTTATTTATGGGTCTCTGAAGCAAGACTGATAAATGAACTTATATAGCTGAGCCGGAGGTGGTTTGTAGGCATGGCTCCAACATACCTAATTTTTGGCCATTTAATTTCTCAGGAAACTTGGTCTCGAGTTGTTGGGGTTTGGCTAGAGGCACAGTGGCAATTTTGGGATATCAGGAAGTCTGAAGGCACCATCAGGCTGTTGATGCACTTGCCCCTCAGGTAGGTTGACTGCCTAGCAGCACTATCCCCACCCCCATCTCATTCTCTTCTAAATTTTGAGGGTTTTTTATTTTTTCTATTTTAAAATTCTCTTATCTTTGATTTTTTAAAATTTGTGGTGGTGGAGAACACACCAAGCAATGCATATGGATTACTCCTGGCTCTATGCTTGGGGGGGTCACCCCCTATGGTGCTTGGGGAACCATAGTGCTGGAACTTGAAATGGTAACTTGCACGCAAGGTAAGTGCTCTCTCTGTATGAATATCCGTATATGACAGCATTGTATAAGAGAGCGCCCTGTGTGCTTTCTCTGGCCCTACATTTTTAATTTTAGATAATTTTATTATGTTGCATCTTAGAAAAATATTTGAGGGTTGAAATTTTGGGGAAACTGTGAGCTTTGTGTATTAATTTATCCAAATGTCTCCCCACATTTGGGAAAATTTCAATCATCATTCTTTGAATGTCTTCTTCCTTTTTCCTCATCTCTTATTCTAGCATCTAGTCATGCATAGATATTACATTTAATGGTATTACTACTTCCTCATTTGACATAGCCTTTATTTATTTATTTATTTATTTATTTGCTCTTTGGGTCATACCTGGCAATGCACAGGGGTTACTTCTGGGTTTGCACTCCGGAATTATTCCTGGTGGTGCTCGGGGGACAGTATGGGATGCTGGGAATTGAACCCGGGTCAGCCGTGTGCAAGGCAAACGCCCTACCTACTGTACTATCACTTGTAACATAGATTTTATTAACCAGTTTTTATTTTATTTTTGCCTTTTATTTTCCCAATTGCAAGAATTTCAAGTGCCTAATTTCAAGGTCACTGACTGGATGATCTGATATTAAAGCTCTCTCTTGAGTTCTCCAATTTAATGATTCTTTATTATTTATATTTCTTTGTTGAATCTTTTGTCTGTTCATATATTGTTTTTCTGATTATATCTAATTATCCATAATAAATACATAATTATCTAATTATATATTTTTCTTGTAGTTCCTGAATTTTCTTCAGGAGTATCATTCTGAATTCTTTTGACAGTTTTGAGATCAGTTATTAGAACTTTGATAATTTTCTTTGGTGTTATTATTAATTGTTCATGATTCACGATTCATGGAGAATTGCATTCTATTGTGGAGGGCACTCCAGGTAGTGCTTGAATAACTACTTACAGTAGTGTATGGAGTTCCCCAGAACTACACCTTGTAGTGCATGGGTAGGAATGAGGTCATGTTGTGCTGGGCCTTGCACATGCAAAGCACGGACCCTGTCACTTAAGCTACATCCCTGGTCCAGTCTTGCATTCTTGTCTAAGCACTTGAAGAAGTCAGTTTCTCTTCCTGTCCTTATAGACTGGCTTAACAGAGAAAGTCCTTTACCATCAACTTGTCCAGAGATTCTCCGTGGGCTGTCTCATACAGTCTGAGCATGACTTTACTATTAGAACTTTTGGGATGAACTGGTGTTTGGGTTTGTAGGGGAAGCTTGACAATTTAATTCATTTGGGTCGGTTCTAGTCCTGAGTTCATATTGGAGGTTTTGGGGTTCAGTTCCATGTCAGTGGACCTGGACCCTGGCACCAAAGAAGTTGATCTATCAATGAGGCCAGAAGGTGAGCCTGGAGACTGAGTTTATGGAATTGTTTCTGCTACTGGGATGATCCATGTGCCTGTTACTCAGAAGCCAGCATAAAGTTGGTAGAGTGGGTTTATAGGGCCTAACTGAGCCCTGGGGAAAACAGAGAGCGTCAAGAAAATCTAACGTCATAGAGGTGGATCCATAGTTTGTAGGAGTCTTCCTAGAGGCCTGGGCCTCAAGGACTGCCTGACACTAAGGTAAGGTAGGAGTCTGTATCCATGGGAGTTACCTGAAGTCTAGGTCTACAGGGTCTTTGATACTAGAGTAGTGATAGCTTCTAAAATAACTGTGAATTCCTCCCTCTTTTACTGTTATCGAGAAGAGGTTGAGTAGAATCAGAGTTGATTCTTTAAATGTTAGAATTTCCAGTGAATCTGAATTTAGCGCTTTTCCTTTGGGAAACCACCTTTTTTTTTTTTATTGAATCACTGTGGGAAAGGTTACAAAGCTTTCAGGTTTAGATCTCAGTCATGCAAATATCAAACACATTTCCCTTTACCAATACTTATTTTTTACCATGAAGAACCCCAATAAAACCCCACCCCCACCCCTCCCCATCCGTGTGAGGCAGATGAATTCTAGTTAACACTCTATCTGCTTTGATTAGATTCATTGTTTCAATAAAAGATTCACCACTATTATTTAGAGTTTACCCCCCCCCCAAATCAGACATGCTGAAAAAGCATTGTGAAATGATTTGCTTTCTACAGCTGGGTTCAAGAATTAAATGTTGGTTTTGGATTTCTGTTATTTTACCTGTTGACCCTGGAAGTATTTCTACTGAAAGTCAGATAGTTAAGAAATTGGTTTCTGTGTTCTGGAGTCGTGGCCGTGCTGGAGAGCCGCTCGTCGGGGGCAACTGGTGGCCTCGGTAGGGCGTGAAGGGCGAACCGAAACGCCCCCCTTCCCATGAGGTTTTAGTCGCCCCCACACCCCCGGCTCGTACCTGCTGTCCACAAGGCTCCCATGTGGCTGCCATCTTTCTTTCCAGAGAGGAGAGGGTGAATGGGGCAACACCCTTTCCCCTCCGGCAGACTTGATGGCCTGGATTAACGCATAGTCCGTTCACTTTTCTGCTCCAAGCTGCCGGGTTCTGCATTAAGTCCTTGTGCTTCTGGGGCCGTGGCTGTGCTGGAGAGGCGCTCGCAGGGGGCGACCGGTGACCTCGGTAGGGTGTGAAGGACTGACCGGAACGCCCCCCTTCCCATGAGGTTTTAATCGCCCCCACACCCCCGGCTCATACCTGCTGTCCACAAGGCTCCCATGTGGCCGCCATCTTTCTTTCCAGAGGGAGGAGGGCGGAAGGGAGCAACACCCTTTCCCCTCTGGGCAGACATGATTGCCTGGATTAACGCATAGTCCATTCACTTTTCTGCTCCAAGCTGCTGGGTTCTGCATTAAGTCCTTGTGTTTCTGGGGCTGTGGCCGTGCTCCAAACTTAACTCTGATTTTCAGGGAGAAAGATTGGGTGGTTTACTTCCCATTGATCACTTTGTATATAGAGAGATGGAGAGAGGTTTTGAGAAAAAGTCCTAGTTCCCGCATACTCGAGCTGTGTTTGTAGAGGCTTCTGGTCACCTGGGTTCCATCTGGGGGAGGCGGGATGCGGCACCTACCCCATCTGGGACTTGCCGGTGATCTCGGCTCTTTTTGGAACCTGTTTTTTTTTTCCCCCTCGGGAAACCACCTTTAAACTAAAAGTCCAGTTGTTTTCTTGCTTATTAAGTTATCAATCAAATGATACATTTCATACTGAGTTGTAGCAGTTTGTGTTTTATGAAGAATTGGTTTGTTGCATTTGAGTTGTAAAATGTATATGTAAATATATGTGTATGAATTGTCCATATTTCCTTGTCCTTTGATATCTACATCGGTTTGAATTGTTATCTATTGTTTCATTTCTGATGTTAGTAATTTGTCTCTTTTTCATTATCATTCTTACTAAAGGTACACCAATTTTAATTATCTTTTAAAGCAGTATTTTTGAGCAATTATTTTACTGATTTTACCTGATTTTTACCTATTTTTTCCATTTTCTGTTTTTAGTTTAGTTTATTTCTGCTCTTATTATTTCTTTCCATCTGCTCTGGTTTTATTTTGTTTCACTTTCTAGAGGTTTTGTACTTTTTTTGAAGTTAGATTTTAGGTTATTTTTAGGTTTCTTTTTTCAGTAGTTCTATTTATTGATAAAACTTCTGACACTATTATTGTGTTTCCTAGAAATTTTGATATGCTTTATTTTTATTCACTGCAATATATATATGTATATATTTTCATTTGAGTCTGTTACTTAGATTATTTTAACTTATGATTATTTAGAATGGTGGTTTTAGTGTTTAGTGTATTCCTCTTTATTTTTCTCTTATCATTTACTAGATTTTATTTGTGTTGGCAGACATTCGGTATGATTTTAATTACTTGAAATTTTTCTTATGATTTATGATATGGTCCATCTTGGGAACTTAAAAAAGAGAGATCTTCGATTGTTGAATTGAGTGTTCCATAAACACAGTTGGAAATTTGGGGGTTATATTGTTAAATTCTTCTATATCTGTACTAACATTTGCTCAAGTTTCAGATCCCCAGTTGTAGAGAGACCAAGTCCACACATGATAATGCAAAAGCAAAGGAACTTTATTACTAGCCCGAGCCAGCACTAGCTCAAGCTAGGGTCCACGTCTCATCCAACACAGTGGAGTCTTCACAAGAACCTCAACTCCAAATCACAAGCAGTTTAGATAGGGTTCAGAGTTAAAAACAGTCTATATACTGAGTTATTTTTAGCATTGGCCTTAATACAACAGTGGTCAGCAATTAGGCAATGGTTAGTAGCAGTTTCTAAGGAAGGTACAGTGACCCTTCATGACTGGCCAGACCCAACTTCCCTATTCCATATCTTGGCAAATTACTCAACTGGGAGTTTACCAGAAACTGCAAGTCCTGCTTTGGGGATGCTGTAACTGAGGCCTAAGTGAGATTTCATGTTGGCTACAGCTTGTCATGGCATCAGTTCTGACATCACGCATTCACTCTAGTTGTTCTAATAAATGTTGAAAGAGAGGTGTTGAAATTTCAACTATAATTTTTGTTTTGTTTAAGATCTGCAAGTGGGGGTGGAGAGATAGGGGAAGGGCTAAAGTGCTGGGTTTGCACGCAGTTGACCCCAGTTCAGTCTGTAACACCACATTTGGTCCCCTGAACGCTTTCAAGAGTGATTCCTGAGCACAGAATCAGAAGTCAGACTTGAGCACTGCCAGGTGTGACACCAGCCCCCGCCAAAAAAAAAAAAAAGTTTAAAAGTTCTGTCATTGTTTGCTTCAATTTTCAGCTGTTTGTGGCATGAACTTTCAGAA